TTCAAAAGTGAACTGGTAACCAGTGCAGTGAGGCCAAAACTGGTGTAATGTGCTCTCTTTTGCCTGTACTGGTTAAAAATGGGGCTGCTGCATTCTGGACCAGTTGTAGTCGTGCAATGGAGGTCTGACTGATACCAAACAGGAGCGAATTGCAGTAATCAAGCCTAGATGTAATGAATGCATGTATTACTGTCTCCAGGTTCTTTTTGGACAATATGGGCTTCAGTTTAGACAGTCGCCTCAGTTGGAAGAAGCAGGATTTAACAATCATGTTTACATGATTGTTAAGTTTCAGGGAAGGGTCCATTATCACGCCCAGATTAGTGACTCTTTGTTTTTCTGACAGGGTTAGAGTGGAGAGGTCGATGCAGTGGTTTGTGATCGTGTCGTTGGGAGGGAACAACATGACTTCAGACTTCTTTTCATTGAAACTTAAGAAATTTAAAGCCATCCAGTCCCTGATGTCAGCCAGGCTGTTGAGCAGTGGTTGAATAGAGCCTGTACCATTGTGTCTTAGGGGGAAGTAAATTTGACAGTCATCGGCGAAGAAGTGGAAGGGCATGTTGTGTTTCCGGAAAATAGCACCAAGCGGCAGCAGGTATAAAGAGAATAGGAGGGGACCCAGGATGGACCCCTGAGGAACCCCCCATTTAAGTTCTGCCTCTGCAGAACTAAAATCCTTGATGGAGACACAAAAGGATCTGTCAGTGAGGTAAGATCTGAACCAATTGAGGGATGATCCTGTGACGCCCACCCACTGCTCCAACCTAGCAATGAGGATCTCATGGTCGATGGTGTCAAAGGCGGCTGTGAGGTCCAACAGGACAAGCAGCACAGAATCACCGGTATCTGTGAATCTGAAGATGTCGTTAAAGACCTTCAGCAGGGCAGTTTCAGTGCTGTGGAGAGGTTTAAAGCCAGATTGGAAAAGCTCTAAGATGGTGTGATCCTCCAGGAAGCACTTCAACTGGGACTCAACCATTTTCTCCAGTAGTTTAGAAACAAATGGGAGTTTGGAGACAGGCCGGAAGTTGGAAACGAGAGAGGGGTTAAGGTTTGGCTTTTTCAGGAGAGGCTGGACGGCAGCATGTTTAAAGGTTTTTGGCACCACACCAGTGGATAAACTACTGTTTACTATGACAAGAATGGACGGACCTAGAGTTGGAAAAACCTCCTTTAGTAGTCGAGGGGGGACCACATCAAAGGGGGAACCAGAAGGTTTCAAGCTGCACATGACCTGCTCTAGAGAAGACAGAGTGATGGGTTCAAAATGGTCAAATGGAGCTACAGATTGAGGTGGGATGGATGAGTCATGAGTTGGAGGGGAAATGAGAGCCCTGGTGGTCGCAATTTTTTCCAAAAAGAAATGTAGGAAGTTGTCGCACAGCTCAGTCGAGGCTTCCAGAGGTGATGGTTCAGTGAGGTGGAGAACATAGTTTAGGGTGGAGAAGATGACACGTGGGTTGTGAGAGTTTGAGGTAATTATATCAGAGAAGTATTTGGATTTAGCAGCTTTTACTGTTTTCTGATAACGGCGCCAACTCTCTTTAAGTATCTGGAAAGAGACCTGCAGCCTGTCTTTCCTCCACTTGCTCTCCGCCCTCCTACATTGCTGCCTAGCGGCCTTGGTGACGTCACTCAGCCAAGGTTCTGCTCTGAGTTTAGATTTTCTAGTTTTAACAGGCGCAACATGATCCAGAGTCTTTAAGCAGACAGAGTTGAACTGGGATGTCAGCTCCTCAGTGGTGGTGAGAAACACTGGGGGCTGAATGATCATTTCAGAGTTATAAACATCTGTGAAACGTGCGGCAGTGAAGTGGTTAATGGCCCGGCTACTACGTGCAGGAATGCACGACTTCGGAGTTAGATGGGGGAGGGTGAACTCAAACTGGACTGGCATGTAGTCTGAAAAAACATTATCACCAATAACAAGATTACTAACAGTCATATCGAGTTAAAACAAGGTCCAGTGTATGTCCACGCTCTTGGGTGGGACCGTTTACATGCTGAGTTAGATTAAATGAGTCCAATAAATCTAAAAAGTCCTTAACCAAGGGCTTCTCAGGACAGCACAAGTGCAAATTAAAGTCCCCAATAATGAAAACATGATCATATTTTGGTGTGATTTCAGCCAAGAAGTCAGAAAACTCATTTATGAAATCCTTAGATCGAGGTGGGCGGTAGACGAGTGCAAATAACGTCGCAGGTGAATGTCCGAGTTCAAAGACGCTCAGCTCAAAGCTGTCGCGGGAAACTAGGATGGGCAGTTGTTTACAGTCATAAGTTGATTTGAATATTGTTAATAATCCACCACCGCGCCGGCCTGATGGCCGCGGGGCGTTAAAATACAGACTGTTAGGTGGCAGTAATTCCGTCAAGGCGCTGGACTCACCCGGAGACATCCAAGTCTCTGTGATATAGAAAAAGTCCAGATCGTGCTCTTGAAAGTAATCCCTGAGGATAAAAGTTTTGTTGGTAACAGATCTTGTGTTGACCAAACACATCCGGATACTGTCCGAAGTAGAGCTAACAGCGGTGGAGTTAGCGCGTGCTAATGGCCGCAGGTTTTCAATAACAGCCCCTCCAGGTCGGTCCGGGCTGCGCACCGGCTGACAACTCCCGCTGGTTACCTGGTCCGGGCTCGCGGGAAGCTGGAGACCATGACCGCCAGCTGAAGAGGAAGATGCAGCGCACAGAGCTTTCAGCTTTACCAGCTGACCAGCACGTTTTCCCCGGCGTCTGAAGCGAGATCTCAGGGCAGGGAGGTGAGGAGCGCAGCGGAGGTAAGCTGGCACGTCCGCCAGCAGGG